TGTAGATGATGATGTTATACACCCCAAGAAAAAAATTAAAAAAAAAACTAGAAAAGAAATTCTCAAAAAAAATATAAATTTTTTGCACAAAAATTTCTATAGTCCAGAATATACACATACACCCCATTTAAAGCAAAAAAAAATACACCCCATACCACCTCCTCACTTTCATAGACACTCACCATCTTCTAGAGAGATTTCTAGTATTCCAGGCTACAATAGTAAGCAACAAAGAAAAGCTGTAGATCTTTTGGAAACCACAGAGAAAAGTTTTTTTTTTTTTTTCTTTTTTTTTATTAAATTATATTTTTATGTGAGTAAAAGTATGATGATATTTAAATTACCTACAAACACACACACCGACACACACACGTATACATGGAGAGATAGAGAGACAAATTGACAGACAGACCTACACAATACTTGAGTTTTCATTGAACAACCAGAGGCAAACTAGGCATTCAGACAGGAGAGCCAAGAAAAGGCAAAAGAAATGCAAGCAACCTAGCCACCCACCCAGCCATTTGTCTCTTTAGCCTCTTTTGCCTTCCCCGCCCCCTCAACCAAACATCCAATCATCATTTTCACATTCCCTAACACCATTCCAATTCGTATACCCTACAAGATATCCAATAGTCACCCAACCAACCAGCCAGTCAGCCATCCATCCATCCAAACAGCCATCCATGTTCTGAAGTATCTACCGGGGGTATTGTCAAAATCTCTACAGCTTCATTTGTATTCCAAGTTACAGTCATAGCAGCAGAATCAGCATCAATGGCAGTATGTTCAAGTGTCTATGAAATAAATGTAAAAAACTACAGACATTCCCTGCACACACACACACAACTACCAACAAAGAGACACACAAACACACACACACGGCTACAGAGAGACGACAACTCAGCTACACGGCAAATGACAATTCAAGCTATTCACAAATTCATGGAAAAGGTGTAGAGCGATTTTTCGTTGCTCTGGAAAGTGGTCTAAGTTCCTTAATGTGGGGGGAAATGGTAGAACCCAAAAGGAGCTGTATTTTTTTCGGGAGAAAAAAAATTAAAAACAAATAAAAAAGCTGTAAGTTCGGCCGGGCCGAACTTTGAATACCCTCCACCATTTGGGAGGAATTTGGCAATTTTCAAAAAAAAAAAAAAAAAAAAAAAAAAACAGGAAAGAAAGTCCTAAAGGCGGGCGGGGCCGACGATGGAAGTTACATCAAAATCTGAACCGATCTCGATAAAATTTGGCAAAAAAAATTTCTGAGCTGTATTTCATATATTTCCCCAAATATTGTTCTTACAGAGTGCATATTACGGCTGTGGGTAACAAATACGACAAATCGGATGAACAATATATATGGCAGCTATAGCTATATCTGAACCGATCTTCACCAGATTTGGCATACTACCTTCTAGACTCAATTCGGTCGTAAGAGCCAAACTTCAACCCATTTGGGTAAATATTAGACGATTGGTGCACAATAAAAGGTAAATCGGACGAAGTTATATATGGGAGCTATATCCAAATCTGAACCGATCTCGATAAAATTGACCAAAAAACATTTCTGAGCTGTATTTGATATATTTCCCTGAATATCGTTGTTACGGAGTGCATATTACGGCTGTGGGTAACAAATATAACAAATCGGATGATCATTATATATGGGAGCTATAGCTATATCTGAACCGATCTTCACCAAATTTGGCATACTAGCTTCTAGACTCAATTCGGTAGTATGTGCCAAAATCCACCCCATTTGGACAAATATTAACGTTTCGTGCAGAAAAAAAGGTAAATCGGACGAAGTTATATATGGGAGCTATATCCAAATCGGAACCGATTTCGATAAAATTTAGCAGATATATTTCTGAGCTGCATTTGATATATTTTTCCAAATATTGTTGTTACAGAGTGCATATTACGGCTGCGGAGGACAAAAATAACAAATCGGATGAACAGTATATATGGGTGCTATAGCTATATCTGAACCGATCTTCACCAAATTTGGCATACTACCTTCTAGACTCAATTCGGTCGTATGTGCCAAATTTCATCCCATTTGGGCAAATATTAGACGTTTGGTGCACAATCAAAGGTAAATCGGACGAAGTTATATATGGGAGCTATATCCAAATCTGAACCGATCACGATAAAATTTAGTAAAGGTATTTCTGAGCTGTATTTGATATATTTCCCCAAATATTGTTGTTACAGAGTGCATATTACGGCTGCGAAGGACAAAAATAACAAATCGGATGAACAATATATGTGGGAGCTATAGCTATATCTGAACCGATTTCGATCAAATTTGGCATACTTATTTTCAGGTCCAATCTGATCGTACGTGCAAAATTTCACACCATTCGGGCTGATATTACAAGTTTGGTGCACAATAAAAGGTAAATCGGACGAGGATATATATGGGAGCTATATCTAAATTCTTACCGATTATCTCAAATTTCAATAGGGTTCGTCCTTGGGCCAAACAAATGTTGTTTGGAAAATTTCATCTCAATCGGATAATAAATGCGACCTGCATTTTGTTCACAAGAATACATGGACAGACGGACGGACGGACGGACGGACAGACGGACTGACATGCATAAATCAACTCAGAAAGTGATTCTATGGAGATCCTCAAAAGTAACTATGGGTCTATCTTGCTTCCTTCTTCATGTTACAAACACATGCACAAAGACATAATACCCTTACCCCTATGTGGTGTAGGGTATAATAAAATCCGTTAAAAAAAATTCTGTCAAAATTTTAAAAATACCGAATGTAGCCGTTATATTAGGGTCCATACGACGACGTGAATCTGCATAGGCAACTTTTGTTATAAGTCATTACAATATTCAAATGCGAAACTTGAAAAAATTCCGGTGAATTATGTCGCTTAGCTCACCAAAATACCGAATATCGGGAGGTACCGTTATATGGGCGCTATACGAAGACGTGAACTTGCACAGACAGTTTTCAGTCATAGGCTCTAGTATCCATTACGAACTTTAAATACCAAATTTAAAACAATTCCGTTGAATAATGTCGCTAAAATCATTAAAATACCTAATATAGGGAGGTACCTTTATATGGGGGCTATACGAAGGCGTGGACCTGCACAAACAAATTTCCGTGAACGGCTGTAGTATCCGTTACGAATTTCAAACACCAAATTTGAAACAATTCTGGTGAATATTGTCGCTTAAATCACCAAAATACCGAATATCGGGAGGTGCCGTTATATGGGGGCTATACGAAGAAGTGGACCTGCACAAACAATTTTCTGTGAACGACTGTAGTATCCGTTACGAATTTCAAACACCAAATTTGAAACAATTCTGGTGAAAAATGCCGCTTAAATCATCAAAATACCGAATATCGGGAGACTCCGTTATATGGGGGCTATACGAAAACGTAGACCTGCACAGACAATTTTCTGCCATAGGCTGTAGTTCCCATTACGAACTTCAAATACAAAATTTGAAACAATTCCTTTAAATAATGTCGCTAAAATAATCAAAATATCGAATATAGGGAGGGGTACCATTATATGGGGGCTATACGAAGACGTGGACCTGCACAGACAATTTTCTGTCATAGGCTCTAGTGCCCATTACGAATTTCAAATACTAAATTTGAAACAATTCCAATAAATAAAACCGCTTAAATCATTAAAATACCGAATATCGGGAGATACTGTTATATGGGAGCTATACAAAGACGTGGACCTTCACAGACAATTTTCAGTCTTAGGCTGTAGTTCCCACTACGAACTTCAAATACAAAATTTGATACAATTCCGGTGAAAAATGCCGCCTAAATCATCAAAATACCGAATATCGGGAGGTACCGTTATATGGGGACTATATGAAGACAGGGACCTGCACAAACAATTTTCTGTCATAGGCTGTACTATCCATTACGCACTTCAAGTGTCAAATTTGATACAATTCCGGTGAAAAATGCCGCTTAAATCATCAAAATACCGAATATCGGGAGGTACCGTTATATGGGGACTATATGAAGACAGGGACCTGCACAAACAATTTTCAGTCATAGGCTGTAGTATCCATTACGCTCTTCAAACACCAAATATGAAACATTTCCGGTGAATAATGTCGCTAAAATCATCAAAGCACCGAATATAGGGAGGGGTACCATTATATGGGGGCCATATGAAGACGTGAACCTACACAGACAATTTTCAGTCATAGGCTGTAGTATCCATTACGAACTTCAAATACCAAATTTGAAACAATTCTGGTGAATATTTTTGCTTAAAATAGCAAAAACGGCACACCCGGGAGGTGCCGTTATATGGGCGCTATACCAACACCTGGACCTAGATGGCCCATTTTCAATACCAAAAGTCCTGCAGACATAATATACAAATTTTATAGCACCTTCAGGAGCAAATTTTTCCTGAAATCAAATTTTACAATTTTGTCCGACATCAAATTTGAAATCATTTTTGATTTCTTTTTTTTTTTTTTTTTTTTTTTGAAAAAAAAAATCAATACTTTTGGACTTAGTTCACTTTCCATATTACCCCGGACTTTCCAGAGACTCTATGAATTTGCCAGTGTATTGTTGTAGTAACCCAACAAAATCGACAATAACAACAACTATTATATTTGTATTGAATTATTTATACCCATATATCGTATTGTATTGTTATTGTGGATTGTTCAATTTTGCAATTTGTCTTTTGTTTTCTTTTCGTTTACAACAATAACAACAACAACAGCAACACCATCAATTGTAGAAACACCGACACCAACAAATCTGATTGTATTTTTCCCAACGAGTTCTCTCACCATAAATTTTCCCATTCTTATTTTCTTTCTCTTTCTCTCTTTGTTTTTTTTTTAAATGACTCTTCTCCCCCCGGTGCAATGAAAACCAAAAAAAAAAAACAAAATCACATTAAATTTATTGCTCTCGTTATCATCCCACCCCTCGTATGCTGGGTATCGTTACTGCGGGGTCCGATGCAGCATAAAGACAAATCAATTGCCATCAGTGGTGGGGGCATCATCAATGGATACGGTGGTAGTTATATTCCTGCATCATCATCCTCTTTAAACTCCGCCTCTGCCACATTGTCATTAAATAGCAATAATAGCAACAACAAAAACAGCAAATCTGCTTTAACACTCATGTCATTAGCAATACCCCAGCATCAGCAACAACAACAACAGCAAACATCATCATTGCCTCTATCATTTTTCACCCTGCCAAATCGAACAACAAAATTATTCAAGAAAATGAATCTGTTCCTATGGTCACCCATGTCCCTGCTGTCCTCATCGAGGGCGGCCAAGTCCCCCCAGAGCTCGGCAACATCATCAGCATCATCATTAACCACATCATCCACCTCATCATTGTCAGCTGCAATGCGTATTGCCAGCCAGAAAATGCAATCATCGTCATCCTCATACCCAGCTATGGCCAAGGCCAATGGAGCCCCTGCATCTGCATCTGCTGCTGCTTCAATTGCCTCAGCAACTGTTGTGGATTTAAATAACACTTTATTAACTTCATCTACTTCAACATCGTCCTCATCGTCGTCGTCCTCCTCGACGTCTTCAACAACTACAACAACATCGACCACCTCCTCGACCTCTACAACAACAACAACTACTACAATACCTGCTGCCGCAGCCAGTGTCAAGTCCTCCTCCACCTCCTCTTCATCAGCATCATCATCATTGTCGTCGCCCTCATTGTCGGCAGCAGCAGCAGTCCGAACACATCAAGACCACAACAAAAACATAAATAACAACAAATATTACAACAACAATAACAACAACAACTACAGAGCATCTTCACAATCATTAATGGCCAAAGTAGATACAGTAAATATACATATATATATAATTGAATCCTTTTTGTGTCCTCCCTCATAATTAAATACGTATATGTGTACCTATATGTTTATATGTATTTGTGTATATGTGTGTGTGAGTATCATATCATATTAACGGCATGGTTGAATTTTCCATTAATTTATTGTTTGTTTTTAATATCGCAGATGATAATTGGTTCCGTACAGGTTATGAATAATAAAATAACGGTATCAGAGCTCAATTGGCATTGGAAGTAAGATTTTTTTAAGGAAAAATGGCATTCGGCAAAATTTTCTTTCGAGTATAACAGTTTCACAAACATTTCATAATGAGTATAACAGTTTATTGTACGCTTTAGCAATGTTGGAGTTCATTTTCCATCGAGTACAACAGTTTTAGAGACATTAAATAAGGTGTATAACAGTTTTTCTAGCATTGTAATTGTTATAATTACCGAATATAGCTACCCAATTGGTTTTGGGTAACATTTTCTTTCGAGTATAACAGTTTCACAAACATTTCATAATAGGTATAACAGTTTATTGTACGCTAAAACACTTATGGAGTTCCTTTTTGCATAATTTTCCATCGAGTATAACAGTTTTTTAGACATTAAATAAGGCGTATAACAGTTTTATAGGCATTAGATAAGTTGTATAACAGGTTTTCTAGCATTATAACAATTCAATTGGCATTGGGTAACATTTTCTTTCGAGTATAACAGTTTTATAAAACTTCTCATAATGAGTATAACGGTTTATTGTACGCTATAACACTTTTGAAGTCCCTTTTTGCATCATTTTCCATCGAGTATAACAGTTTTTTAGACATTAAATAAGGCGTATAACAGTTTTTTTCTAACATTATAACAATTCAATTGACATTGGGTAGCATTTTTAATGTAGTATAACAGTTTCAAAATATGTCCATAAAGAGTATAACAGTTTTTTGTACCCTAAAACATTTTTAAGTTCTTTTTTACGTCATTTTCCGTTGAGTATAACAGTTTTACAGACATTAAATAAGGCGTATAACAGATTTTCTAGCATTATAACAATTCGAGTGGCATTGGGTAATATTTTTAATGTAGTATAACAGTTTCACAAAACTTCTAATAATGAGTATAACAGTTTATTGTACGCTATAACACTTTTGAAGTTCCTTTTGGCATCATTTCCCATCGAGTATAACAGTTTGAGAGACATTGAATAAGGCGTATAACACTTTTTCTAGCATTATAACAATTCAATTGGCATTGGGCAACATTTTCTCTCGAGTATAACAGTTTCACAAACATTTCATAATAGGTATAACAGTTTATTGTACGCTAAAACACTTATGGAGTTCCTTTTTGCATAATTTTCCATCGAGTATAACAGTTTTTTAGACATTAAATAAGGCGTATAACAGTTTTATAGGCATTAGATAAGTTGTATAACAGGTTTTCTAGCATTATAACAATTCAATTGGCATTGGGTAACATTTTCTTTCGAGTATAACAGTTTTATAAAACTTCTCATAATGAGTATAACGGTTTATTGTACGCTATAACACTTTTGAAGTCCCTTTTTGCATCATTTTCCATCGAGTATAACAGTTTTTTAGACATTAAATAAGGCGTATAACAGTTTTTTTCTAACATTATAACAATTCAATTGACATTGGGTAGCATTTTTAATGTAGTATAACAGTTTCAAAATATGTCCATAAAGAGTATAACAGTTTTTTGTACCCTAAAACATTTTTAAGTTCTTTTTTACGTCATTTTCCGTTGAGTATAACAGTTTTACAGACATTAAATAAGGCGTATAACAGATTTTCTAGCATTATAACAATTCGAGTGGCATTGGGTAATATTTTTAATGTAGTATAACAGTTTCACAAAACTTCTAATAATGAGTATAACAGTTTATTGTACGCTATAACACTTTTGAAGTTCCTTTTGGCATCATTTCCCATCGAGTATAACAGTTTGAGAGACATTGAATAAGGCGTATAACACTTTTTCTAGCATTATAACAATTCAATTGGCATTGGGCAACATTTTCTCTCGAGTATAACAGTTTCACAAACATTTCATAATAGTGTAACAGTTTTTTGTACGCTATAACACGTTTGGAGTTCCTTTTTGCGTCACTTTCCATCGAGTATAACAGGTTTATGGGTATTAAATAGGGCGTATAACAGTTTTTCTAGCATTATAACAATTCCATTGGCATTGGGTAATGTATTTAATGTAGTATAATAGTTTCACAAACATTTCATAATTAGTATAACAGTTTATTGTGCGCTACAACACTTTTGAAGTCCTTTTTTGCATCATATTCCATTGAGTATAACAGTTATATAGGCATTTACAGCAGTACAACAGTTTCACAAACATTTCATAATGAGTATAACAGTTTTTGTACCCAAAAACACATTTTAAATTCCGTTTTGCATAATTTTCCATCGAGTATAACAGTTTTGTAGACATTAAATAAGGTGTATAACAGTTTTTCTAGCATTTTAACAAATCATTTGCATTGGGTAATAATTTCAATGTAGTATAACAGTTTCACGAAATTGCCGTAATGAGTATAACAGTTTATTGTATGCTATATCACTCTTGTAGTTCCTTTTTGCATAATTTTCCATCGAGTATAACAGTTTTATAGACATTAAATACGGCGTATAACAGTTTTTCTAGCATTATAACGATGTAATTGGCATTGGGTAATATTTTCAATGCAGTATAACAGTTTGAGTAATGCCGTAATGAGTATAACAGTTTATTGTACGCTATAACACTTTTGGAGTTCTTTTTGCATCATTTTCCATCGAGTATAACAGTTTTATAGACATTTAATAAGGCGTATAACAGTTTTTTCTAGCATTATAACAATTCAATTGCCATTCGGCAACATTTTCTCTCGAGTATAACAGTTTCACGAAATTGCCGTAATGAGTATAACAGTTTATACGCTATAACACTTTTGGAGTTTCTTTTGCACAATTTTCCATCGAGTATAACAGTTTTATAGACATTAAATAAGGCGTATAACAGTTTTTCTAGCATTATAACAATTCAATTTGCGTTGGGTAATATTTTCAATGTAGTATAACAGTTTCACAAAACTTCTGATAAGGAGTATAACAGTTTATTGTACGCTATAACATTTTTGGAGTTCCTCTTTGCATCATTTTCCATCGAGTATAACAGTTTTAGAGACATTAAATAAGGCGTATAACAGTTTTTCTAGCATTATAACAATTCAATCGGCATTCGGCAATATTTTCTTTCGAGTATAACAGTTTCACAAACATTTCATAATGAGTATAACAGTTTATTGTATGCTATATCGCTCTTGTAGTTCCTTTTTGCATAATTTTCCATCGAGTATAACAGTTTTATAGACATTAAATAAGGCGTATAACAGTTTCTCTAGCATTATAACAATTCAAATTGTGTTGGGTAATATTTTCAGTGAGGTATAACAGTTTCTCAAACATTTCACAATGAGTATAACAGTTTTTTGTACCCTTAAACACATTATAAGTTCCGTTTTGCATCATTTTCCATCAAGTATAACAGTTCTATGGGCATAAGATAAGGCGTATAACAGTTTTTTTTTTGTATTATAACAGTTTTAAAGCCATTTTCTGTATTTTCAGCTCTCGTGTATAACAGTTTCATAGAATTTTAAAACAAATTTACATCATTATAACACTTTTGTCATTACTTTGTGCTATCATTTAAATTGGGTATAACAGTGTTACAGCAATTTGTTAAAGCGTATAACAGTTTTTGTAGCAGCATAACACTTTAACAGTTTTATTTTTCCCAATTTATTTTTGAAAATTATTTTCTATAGAGTATAACACGTTGATGGTAAACTGTTATACAGTATAACAGTTTCGTGAAAAGTATTTTTAAATTATAACACATTTGTAATCATTTTCATTGCAAGAAAATACCATGGAAACACCAGATACCAGCTTTGCCCTTTTGAATACCCCATATCTCTCACTCCCATTTCGCCCAACCATATCTCTCCACCTGCTGCTCTCTCTCTCTCTCTCTCTCTCTCTTTGCCATTATCATCATCTCATTGCCCGTCTCATTTGCAGAGACCTTCAATGCAATTATTGACCCATTTCATGTCAATTTAATTCATCCTTGTAATATTTTTTGTTTTGTCATTTCGTTTATCCACTTGGCCTCATCACCAGCAGCAGCAGACATCTGAGACAAACAAGAGCCAACAACAATAGCAACACAGAATAAAACACGCAAAAATTACAATAAATTCACTCGAACAACAACAAGACCGGAAAAATACAACAACGGTGGATCTATCAACCGTGTCATGTTTTTTTATTTTTCTCTCCAACCAGGTCATCATTTGTCATTTGCAACCGAAATCATCATCATCGGTAGCATCAACATCATCCTCAGCATACAAATCAGAGGCACCACACCAGGCCAAGCCAGGCCATCTATCCAACCATCCACCCATCCCCGGTCTATTGTCAATGGTGTCAGATTGCACTTTTTTTCCTCAATGCATTTATTTTTATTTCCATTTTTATTTATTTATATTTTTGCCTTTTCAATTCGGATTGCAATGCATGTTGTTGTAGTTGTTGTTGTTGTTCATTTACATGATAACAAAAATAACAACAACAACGACAAACACCCAACCGAACTACTCAAATATGGAAATAAATAATTTTTGCATGCATTTAATTAGAAAATTGCGTAGCTAGCTCAGCCACAGATCCATGTCATTTGAAAAGCATCTGACTCCGAAAGTGACCTATACCAGGTCAAGAATCGGAATGGGAGAGCGGATGGTAGGCAGAAGTCTTTTTTTTTTTTTTGGAAATTTTAAAAGATGAAAATAGAATCCGAAAAGCTTTTGATGAATAGAAAAGGACTCCGCAAGTGATGTTCTGAATAGTATCTGACTCCGAAAGTGACCAATACCAGGTCAAGAATCGGAATGGGAGAGCGGATGGTAGGCAGAAGTCTTTTTTTTGGAAATTTTGAAAAAAAAAAGGGAAATAGAATCCGAAAAGCTTTTGATGAATAGAAAAGAACTCCGAAAGTTTTTAAAAGTATCTGACTCCGAAAGTGACCTATACTATAGTCAATTACTCCGAAAAACATTAAATCTTCAGAGATTTTTCCGAAAGTATTTTTCTGGGTAGTAGATGACTCCGAAAAATGTCTGCTGGATGGGAGATGACTCCGAAATTCAGATAATGGGAAGTCAATGACTCCGAAAGTGCAGTAGATGACTCCGAAAGTCATCAAGTGTGTAGCAGATTACTCCGAAAGTCGTATGAGGTATAGAATATAACTCCGAAAATTATCTACTGCATTGCAGATGACTCCGAAAGTCATCTTCTGTGTGGGACATGACTGCGAAAGTCATCTGCTGCAAAAGAGATGACTCCGAAAGTCATATGCTGTACAGGAGATGACTCCGAAAGTCATCTGCTGTACAGGAGATGACTCCGAAAGGCATCTGCTGTATAGGAGATGACTCCGAAAGGCATCTGCTGTATAGGAGATGACTCCGAAAGTAATCTTCCGTATAGGAGATGACTCCGAAAGTCATCTTCTGCATGGAAGATGACTCCGAAAGTCATATATTGTATAGTAGATGACCCCGAAAGTCATCTACTGTATAGGAGATGACTCCGAAAGCCATCTTTTGTGTAGGAGATGACTCCGAAAGTCATCTGCTGTAGAGGATATGACTCCGAAAGTCATCTGCTGTACAGGATATGACTCCGAAAGTCATCTTATGTGTGGGAGATGACTCCAAATGTCATCTGATGTGTAGCATATGACTCTGAAAGTAATCTGCTGCACAGGACATGACTCAGAAAGTCATATTCTGTATGGAAGATGACTCCGAACGTCATCTGCTGTATAGGAGATTACTCCGAAAGGCATCTGATGTATAGGAGATGACTCCGAAAGTCGTCTGCTGTACAGGAGATGACTCCGAACGTCATCTGCTGTATAGAAAATGACTCCGAAAGTGATCTGCCGTATAGGAGATTACTCCGAAAGTTATCAGTATTATAGAAGATGACTCCGAAAGTCATCTTCTGTATAGGAGATGACTCCGAAAGTAATCTTCTGTATGGGAGATGACTCTGAAAATCATCTACTGTATAACAGGGGACTCCGAAGGTCATCTGCTGTATAGAAAATAACTCCGAAAGTTATCTGCTGTATAGAGGATGACTCCGAAAGTCATCTCTGTGTGGGAGATGACTCCGAAAGTCATCTGGTTTGTAGGAGATGACTCCGAAAGTCATTTAAAATTTTGAAGATGACTCCGAAAGTCATCTACTGAATAGTAGATGACTCCGAAAGCTATCTACTGCCTATGAAATGGTTTCGAAAGTCATCTGCTGTCTAGGAGATGACTCCGAAAGTCATCTGTTGCATAAGAGATGACTCTGAAAGTCATCTGCTGTATAGGAGATGACTCCGAAAGCCATCAGCTGTATAAGAGATGACTCCGAAAATCATCTACTATGTAGCAGATGACTCCGAAAATCATATAAGGTATTGGAGATGACTCCGAAAATCATCTACTGTACAGGAGATGACTCCGAAAGTCTTCTAGAGTATAGAAGATGACT